TTATGGAACTTGTTAGCATCTATTTTGTCTCACATCTCTCACACCAATTCAATTGTACGAGTATCATCCTTTAAAAAGTATAAATAGGTAATCCATAAAACGGGTAGTAAAGGCCTGTGCTTGTCAGCTTCATGGTTTTTTGCCTAATATCGTCTGCTCAAAGTCAAGTCTTTAACCAGCTGGAGTAAGATAATTAAAATATCAGACATATTTTATTTAAGCTTAACTGAAATTTTCCAAAGAGCATACTTCTTCTTTCTCCAAGTGCCTTTTATTCTCTTACTAAATGTGTGGCAGTTTCATCAAAGTGTGCAAGGTGTTTCTGAGTCCACTTTTTCCTGCGTCCCTGGTGATTTCCTGACTTATCCAGCAGAATTGTTATGTACATGTAACAGAGTTAGGGATCTTTATTTTGCCAGTTACCGGACTTTTCATTCCTTTCTGTAACTTGTGACAAGAAACTCTCTTGAGCACCACGTAATTGTTTTCCCAGAATCGAGGAAAAACCTGAATAGATTTCCTCACAAGTATTGAGGTTAACTAGTCTATTATCTTGCGACCAGATTAGGAACAAAGCATTGCGAAGAGTTACCATTGGTATGAGAAGAGTGTTGTGCTTGGGAAGAATTAACTTGAGTAGTGACCATTGCAACGTCATGGGAGAGTATTTCTTGTTGACTAAACAAGGATTTTGATCAAAGTTCTGCCTGCCATGCGGTAGAAAATAGCTCAAATAATCTTGCTGTATTCAGTGATGACACCATTGAAGACAAGAGGGACCAACCAACAATCAGATGGGTGATATTCTGAAGAGGCCGTAACATACTTGAGGAGGGTATCATTGAACTTCCGTAACCACCGCTATTAACATTGCTCTGTGGAATTCATCCCTTCAGCATGGAGCACAAGTCTTTCCAAGGCTGAAAGCAGAAGAGACTGGAAAAGAAGAGCTAGATAAGATGGAGAAGAAAGTTTTGATCAGCAAGAAAGGAAATTTGCTGATCACAGAACCCAGATCAGAATAGAAGGGAACTGGGGTTTGGCTAGGGTACCTCGGGGTTGCCAGCCCTAAGGGCCTCCCGTATGGTTGAAAGCCAACCACCCCTGAGGTATTCTAAGGATTAATAAATTTTAGAATATAGTGTAGTTGTTTAAAATATCTTACTTTATTACTTTTAAGGTGAATCAAAAAGTTTTCTTTTAACTGAGCCTTAGAAACGTCTATGTCCAAATTGGATTACAAATTTTAATATTCTTGCGGAACTAAGTGAAACTTGAAAATTTAAAGATATATGGCTGAAACTTGCATTATAAACAATAAAACCCAGGTTACAACCATTTTCTTTTGAACTTTATGCTTCTCCAGGTTTCGCACAACCTGTAATAGCACCAAGTTGTTACTGATTTTGAATGGACAATGAAAACTTTCAATTATAAAATTAATAAAATGACTCTCAAAGAACAAGGCTATTATAAACAACAAAATTTTCAGATATCTTGAATTTGCTACAAGGATCATATGAAAGTTAAATAATGTCAATGTTTCCTAAAATTATAAAGTGGAAGGGAAATAAATCAAAACCGGATTCCATCATGAAAATAATGGTCTTTTATTAGTATTCAGTCTCTATAGTAGTAATATTTGATCACAAATGACAAAATCATGGTCTAACACAACAATACTGGGTATCGCTAAGACTTTAGTATTTCACATGAATAACATTCAGTATAGTTTTAACATGATAAACAAAATAACACTGTATGTGAGCGAATGGATTATACTGTAATATTAATTCAAATTGGGTTTCTTCAGTTTTAATTTATGACTAAAACAGCCTAAAATTGATTATAAGGCAAGGCCTTGTGGTTGATTAAGAGGTTTTTGGAAAGGGGTGAAGTTTAGGTAGCTTATCTGAGAAAATAAAGGAATTTACGTCTTACAGATACACTAAAAAGGCCACACAACATGAAACTGAAATTTTTTCCTGAGAAGGACTTCTTCAGTAGAGATTAATGGGAAAAGATTTGACAAGTTGAAGAAAAAAATCTTGTAGGTTAACTCGCTTAATAAGTCTAACACAAGGACTAAAAATCAGAGTTATGATATGCAACGCTTTTGGTATCTATAAGCTCCTAGACAAAAACTAAATGAATCATAAAATATATCAAAGCGGAGAATCAATAAAAAGACTTGTAAAAAAAACCCCGTACTTTATAGAAAAGACAATTTTAAAATTTAATGAACATATTCTTTACACTTATTAATTTATGGTATCGAAACAAAAATACACACGCAAAAATACTCACATACAGCATAAACTCTGCCATAAACGAATCCTATTACACAGCCAAATTTATTGAATACCTACACATCGAAAACTAACTTCTCGTAATTAAATAGTTTATCACATGGATTTAACACCAAAATTCAAAATTAAATTCACAAGAATACATCATATTGCTTTACATATTGCAAGTGAAATTCTTAGACCTCGAAAAGATGAACGCACACTATAGTTTTACAAGATGAGCTTCGGTTCTTAGTTATATATTGTAAATGTATCCAATATGTACAATTGTTAACCATAAAATTAGACAATACATGATAATACAGGAAGGAATAAAAGGTTTTCCTTGCTGTGCCATGAAAGTTTTACCATAAATTAAATCTTTGACTATTGATAATATGAAGTAGATATTCATTTTATTAAGTGAAGCCAGATTTAGAACGAGAAAGAACTTAGTGCATTCAAGTACTGAAAGTAAGTGCTAAGGTTAACGATTCAGTTTGTATTAAATTCAGTTTAAAAATGGCACTATGGATGAGCCATACAACTATGTTCTTTTTCAGTGAAACCGGCTATATCCTTGTCCATATAGATTGAATATCTACTTCAATATACTAAGGGTGGACCAATGCTTCTAGGTGTTGACATTGCTTCGGCAAAAACCTCAAACAAACAAACTCAACCAGGGATTAAAATACTTTCCAGTTAATTTTCTAAAAGTGAAGCTGTGCCGATTAATTGTTGATGTGTTTAGTGCGTAGAATACCTCTACCGAACATCTCTCACTCTATAATTTAGTAACACAACTTTTTAATGCACATTCTAAAACAGTACCTATCAAGAGAAATCAATAGATACAATTTAAAATCCTTAAAAGTCAAAGAAACAGAATGAATTACCGATTAATTATTGATATGAATATTTTAACTGGAATAACTCTTTTAGAAAAAGGATCAAAGAATTTTTATCGGGATTGCAGAAAATGTGGCATCATCACTTTGAAGTGTTTTCCATTTCTTGCCTGGGTATTAAAAAAAGTTCAAAAGTCTTGCAATTGTCATAGAAAAACAAAAATCAAATTTTGAATAAAAATTGTGCATGTACAGAGATAGACAATTTACAGGGCATAATTTTAAAAAATATATAATTATTTATAGTTGGCGACAGCATTTAACTTATACTTCACTATACAAGGTAGATAATATATAATATTTTGAGGTGTTAAATTCTTTGAAATAGAAACAAACAACCAAAATGGCACAAAACTTATCTTAAGTTTACAAGAAAAATTAAGTTAATTACAAGTTAAGATTTCTTAAGAGAATTATATCTTATCCTATTTGGTGGTGTTTAGATATTAAGTATCTTAGATATAGACAACAAACAATAGATAGAAAAATAATAAGTAATTCCTCCATATTTATAAAGTTTAACTCTGTCAAATTATAAGCTCTTTCCAATTTCTCATATTTTAGAACACACAAAAAACACTGCTTAAAAAAATATTTGAGATCATAGATCTACAACAATTAGTAGTTGTACTCATTTTTAAAACCAGGAATTTCATCGACAGACTTTAAAACTACAAGGAGGAATTACTTATATCCATAGAGTAATAAAAGAAAGTTTAGTAATATATTAGCAAAAATATGTTTATACTTAAAGCTAAATTGCTATAATTGAACAACAGTATAAATGTCATAACATACACTAAACAAATGTTTAATTAAATGACTAATTGAATAAAATAATACTTACAATAAAAATTTACATAAAACACAAAAAGTAACAAAGCAAAATATACACTATACAAGAAAATTGTATGTCTTTTTTTAAGGTGCTTGACTTAAATATTTTGAAAAGAGCTAATTTTTTACCAAACATATTTAGAACCTTTCTTATTAACCATCTTACATCATTTTTACAGTTACTCCTTATACCAAATAACAAAATTTATATTAAAAAACCTACATAATTGGGATTTGAAGAAAATTTGGATGGCTATTCTTGTTCTGCTTTTTTTTATAAATAATCACACAAAAACTACCCAAGTCGTTTTGTACTAAATGTAAGAGCACCAAGAAATCTATACTATTATAAAGAAGAGGTGGTGTCTGTGTGTGTGTGTGTTTGTATGAGCTAATCTCAAAAACTACTGAACCTATTGGGCTCAAATTGCACACACATGAAGCTACAGTTCCGAGGATACATATAGAACTATTCCCGCTTCAATATTGTCCTAGGGCTCTGCCCCGTGGGCTTTCAAAAATCGGAGGTGAGAGATTTCAAAGTAAATTTTGATTGATGGTATCCATGACAACAAAGAACAAACCTACAAAGTTTAAAAATGTAAACAAGCAGTACTAACTGTCAAATTAATTTTGATTTCACAATTCCATACAGCTGGTTCAAACATTCATTTAAATACTGCATGAATATTAGAACAGAGAGGGTAAGGATCATATTTAAAATAATGATGTCACTATCCTGAATGTAAACATTATTTAACATTACTTAAATGGAGCTGTCAAACCATACGCTAATGTCATTTCATTATAATAGGATTCTTTCAGTTACATAATTTGTTTATTTTTATTTACTTTTTACTTTTTTCTATGGTTCAGGGGCAGTGGTAGAACAAAAGAACCAAACTTTCTTAAACCATGTCCTCACCCATAACTGCAATAAGCATTTTATACTTATATGCCAACCCCGTACGAAGGACGGGTACTCTGCTAGTCATTAATATTTTAAAAACACAATACAAAATACAGTGCATTAATAATATATTTGTCTAAAAAAATCAGTAAGAAGGCAATAGTTAGGAAACGTAGTACAGTAAAACTGTTCACAAAGTTTAATCAAAGAAGTTCCAACATACGTTTAAGCGGTAAAGTTAGGATGAAGTTATGGCTATAAAAAACCACTTGGTTCGAAAATCAAAAGAAAAAAATAACGAAATATTTAAGCGTTTATAAACTTGGGGTGACTAGAGAGCACGGTTTTCCGTGGTGAGGAAAATTAAATGTTTCCTCCAAAATTATAACTTATCTTGATCCAAACAAAATTCTATAATTTTTTTAATCATGGCGAACATTATTTTGTCGCTGCAAAACATGACGCAGTTTTTCCATAAGCCGTAAGAACTAGTATAGTTCAAATAATAAAAATGTATAAAAACAATTAAACATTTAGCTTGTATGTTGGCAAAAACCTAAGTCTTACCAAACCAAATAACAATTAATATTTTAAACCCATTGAACAGACCAAAATATTTTGGATTAGGGTTGCTGAACATTAAGCTTCTTTCCCAATGCATCCTTATTTAAAAACTTTACGGACATTGAAAACAGTAATTGTAAAGTTTGTACAACGCACATTTAACAAAGAAATAAAAATATTCTACAATCCTTCACATGAGCCTAACCATTAAAGTACAACAATCGCAGACGAAGAGTTGAGCATTTATCGAGTGCAGACGGGACAGTAGAGTAGGGAATGAGCGACTCGGAGACAAACGTTGTGGAAGGCGTGTGAACACGCGAACACTCGCAAGCCGACGTCGCGTAACAAACGGGGCGCTCCTAGACTGAGCGAACACAGCGCACAGTCGCCTGACGCCATGTCTACAGCGACGCCCCAGTGGTGGTTCACGGAACTAACGAGAGGCTCCATCGACACCATTTGGGCGTCCTTCTCCAGGGCAGTCTTGAGTTCAGCTCCGACCTGAAAATTTACGTCTTTATTTCAGGAACTTTTTATGGCTGAGAATTTCATGTAAATGGTATTTTCATTTCAAAATCAATGTAAATATCAATACTGAGCAGACGAGGTTTAACTATTTGCCTCGGACTACGAAGGCTGCTGGTTAAAACCTAGGAGGGCCCAGTTACTTACCAGGTCCAGTTAGTTAGTGTTACTTAAGTCGTTGAGTAAGTTTTCTAGCAACAGATTAACCCTACACAGTGAGAAAAGATGATTTGGATAACAAATATTAAAATATCATCAGTTTTTGTACATACCATGTTAAATGAATAATAGCAGAATAAATTGAAGTCATGGATTTAAAACCCCAGGTTTCTCATACAATACTTAATAGATTGTGACAAACAGTGCTAAGCTTTCTTGCTGAAATTTATCAGCTTGAATGAGTTTTAGAATAGAGAAAGTAGAAGTATTAAACTTAATAACAAGTCCTTAGATCCTCAGAGACTGTGATGGTAAAATGTGTAGGTTACATATTGGCAACACTGTTACAACTACCTGGCCACCATTAGACTTTAATACAACTTTCCTTGACATGGGTACACCTTCCTTAGTTCTAATGTTTTGTGTATATAGTGTAAAGTTTTGTGTTTCTTGTGCCAATTCGGACTCTTTCCCATTTGGGTAAGCCAGCTTCCTAACAAAAAAATCTTAAAAACCAAGGCTCTTGTGCATTATGCAACCTGAAATCCTGTACTAGTTTGACAACGTTCAATTTAATAATCGTAACATGTTAGCCTAACAGTGTTTTATTTTTGTCATCTAACCTAGCCGTGGTCTGTTTAGGTTGTATAATCGAGACCTCATTGTATACGGAACTGACTTTATAGTCCTCGCCACCCTAAGTTGAGGTAGCCCAAGGCCGCACGGCGTGTATGTAGTGCGGCCTTTGGCTGCCTCAACTTAGGGTGGCGAGGACTATAGATATTGACTTTAGACATAGCAATTTATTTCACCAACGTACCTGCGGAGTCATGACGGCTCTCTGCCTTCTAGAGTCAGACACCCTTTGTAGAATGTCGAGGACCTTCGGCCTCAGTCCCTCCATCCGACTGTCCACGAGCCCAGTTACTACACATGCTTGGTAGAACCTACAAAGTAATGTTCATCAACATTTCAACAAGTTAGTTGATGGGAAAGATTATCCCTTTAACATTAACTACCAGATCTCAGATACAGTGTGATGGCACGGCGAACATATTGTTAATCACATAGTCTATTTGTTACTAAGAGGAACATAACCAAACCTTCAATTACAACTGTATATCTGAGCACAACACAGAAAAACAGCTGGGGAAGCATGTAAAGGAGTCAACTACAACGTTAGGTGTTTGTGTCAACCAAATTGATAAATGGCCGAGCGGTCTAAGGCGATTTCTCCACTGCCAAGAGAAGATAGCACCAAGCGGTTCAAACCCTATCTCAGTCGAGTCTGATGCCTTACCAGCATAACTGGTAAGGAGTTCTCTGTCCGAAGAAAACTTGGTGGGCGCTTACTTACAGGAGAGCTCAAAGTTTACGTAGGGCGGACACTGTGTGTGTTACGTCAAATCAAGCATTTTCTTACTTCTTAGTTGGGGAAAAAAGTGCAAGTTATAGTTGCCTTAGATAGGTAATTATTTTATATGTCAGATAAAGAGTTGTTTGACATTTTTAAAAACTCATATGATTTATTAGGGGAAAACATATCTATAAATTATATCTAAATCAAACTGTTAAAAAATGTTAAACATCAACTTACATGCGATCCAACTCTCCAGGTAGAATTTCTGCCGAGTACTTCTTCAGCATCTCCACCGTTTTGCCTGAACCAAGTTGTTTTAGAATATGAGTCGCTAGAAAAGTCCACTGAAACCCAGCTTTCCGGTTTTCAGGCCATTGCGATCCACAGGCACAACACTTTCCTTTCTTGACGTGAGCGTTCATCGTCACTACATCCTCCCACCACTCAGCGTTATCACAGTCTACAAACTTTTCAAATTCCGAAACAAGTCCTAATTGAATCACTAGTTTCAAACTAATGTTGTTGCCGTGGTTCGGAGCTTTGTTCTTCAACGTCCACAAAAGCAGGTTGGAACTCACACTGCAAACTTTCATAATGTGCTTTAAGTATTCAGACTCGGTGTCGGATTTGCAATTTTCCTCTTGTGTTTCACCATTTGACGAGTTTTCTTCAAAAAATTTCTTGAAAGATTCATTTCCTTTGGGGGATATTTCCAGTGACGGATCGCTTTTCCTCGATGTGTGAGAGAGTAAGTCCGGTTTTACCCCGTTGAGGGGAATTTTGTGTCTGTATACCTCCCAGTGATAAGATATCAGTTTTTCACCGATTTCCGAGAACTTTGCACAACTAACTGGAACGCCTGGTAAAGGAAAGGAGCAATGGCAAGTTCCATAGTCAGACTTTGCATTAACCTGGGTGAACGCAGACTCAATGTGCGACACCAAGCCGATATCATTTAACGTTATTTCACACTTTTTGCTAATCATTTTTGAAATATACGATAGAAGCAGATTGTTACAACGTTGTTCGGCCACAATTCTCTCCAAACCGTTTACTTCCAAATGAAGAACAAGTTTCAGTAAAATATACGAGACTGTCTTTAAAGTGACTCCTCGGGCAATGGCCATTCGAAAACTAGCATCCACTTGTTCCAATCGGAACGAAAGAAAAATGGCATTTAGAAGAAGAGGAAGGGGCCAATCTGCACAGCTGACATTGTCCGAGTCTCCGTATTTTGTGATGTACCTGAAGGTGCCCTCTTGGAAGCGATCGATGACTACGCACCATGATAGGTAAACACACGGAAGACCAAGAGATTCTAGACTCTCGAGAATACTGTAGGGATCTAGGATCTCAGAAAAAAGTCTAAGAACTCTACTCAAAGCTGCGTCTAGTTGTAATGACTCAACCGAAAACACATCCTGCAGCACACTTGGGTGTTCTTTCGCTTCCTCTTCAGAAGAATGACCTTGTTGATTGTACAGCCACTGAAGAATGACTCCGTTCTTCAAAGATTTGTGAAACCAGTTTGAAATGACTAGAAAATGTTCTTTACTCAAATAAAGACTGAAAGGAAACACACCTTTGCAGTATTTTGATTTTTTGCTGACTAGTTGTTCGTTAAAGGTCGTGCAAAGACTAGTGACTTTGTCCAACAGTTCTTCGAGGAATTCTATCGTCAACTCGGTTTCAGGCCCTTTGCACATTTCTAACAGTTCGCTAACGTCTAAGCTAGGTGCACTTGGGTGAAAGTGTTTTCTTCTGTTCTGCCCCTCGACTATCTCCTCCTCAGCAGCCGTTGGGTCGAATTTTGTTTGTTCAGGCTCCTTGTATCCGTCGGGCCTCACATCCAGCGGCTCCTGGCAGTCTTGAGATCCTTTGTGCCATCTGTCCAACAGCGACTTCGTCCCACTCATCAGCTTCCCAGAAACACTAGTTCCGATCTCCATCAAAGCGTCGTGAATGATATCGGGTGAAGACAGGGGAAAGAAAGGTATTTGAGGAACAATAAAATCCTGATTGTTTCTCTGAAACAACTTGTTGTACTCTTTGTTTATGTCGTGCTTATTAATGTTCTTCAGGTCTTTACCAATTTCCTCAGCGTCCGACGACTTAGATAACTCTGGCAGTGAGTTAGTAGACACTGAAGAATTCCTCGACGGGATTTTCTTTGGGCTTTCTTGTCTAACTCTCTTATTCTGATTCGGTGGTAAACTTCTCGACCTTGAACTTCTCATTTTCATATTCCTCTGGTTATTTCTAGGTATGCTTCTACTTCTCTCGATCAGTTTCCATCTCGCGTGAAGATTGTCGACCAGAAATATTCCAGACTCTAACCGCATGGAAATTTCTCTCTCTTTCGCATGGGTCTCTACATTTTTCAAAAAGTCTTGCAACTCGTTGGTGATGCTTTCCTTCAGAACGTCTCTTAGTCCTAATAGGGGACCGAGTTTAGTAAGCGTTTCAGGCGACTGAAGGAGCAATGTGGAGTAGCGAACACAAAGATCTGAACACAGGTCGTAGTTCTTGTAGAAGTACAGTCTCAACAAGCATTTATCCAGTGGTGTGACCTGCAGGGCGTGTACTTGATGAGACTCTGTCCATACGTAGACTATGTCTCCGATACTCCTAGCGTCCAGAATGTCCTTGTAGCAGTCCGACCACAGCACCACGTCTACCTTCTCTGGGTCCAGGATGTAGATGCCATCACGCTTGAACGTCAAGAGATACTTGTCCAGGATCACAGAGAGTTGAGCAAAGTTGAAAGACTGTTCTGGCCATTCTGCGTCATCATCTGGTGCAATGATACCTGTGAAAATAAACTTGACGTTACAAAAGCTCAAATAACATCTCAATTAAAATTCCACGCTGTGTTTTCAAGAAATTCTGCCAAGGAACTAAGGGCCTACATCTGCTCTTGCCATAAAAAACATTTCCTGTCCAGTGTTTGGATTTTTATGTCATAATTATTGTAGGCTTCCCTGAATGGGAGAGTCAAAACTGGTACAAGAAACACCAAATTTATACTACACACAAACTAAGTAAGGTGAGTCGGTGACTCAGTTGGTAACGTCACGGACTTCGGGCCCAAGGCAGCGATGTTGTGGGTTCGGATCCTGGTCACTGCTGCAAATATTCTATCAGTACAGTTCACCTTCGTACTGTACCGGCTCACCCCTTGCTTTGCTGGATATGTTCCACGCACAGATCTGTAGTCTATGTGGACGGAAAAATGTTAGGTTAACAGAGGCTGTCAACGTCTTTAAAAAAATTAAAATATTTTAATTTAAATGGCATCATTTCAACCAATCAGTGTACTGTATGCATTTACCTTCATTCTACGGTAAAAATGCTGTAAGTGACATTTTTGCGACTAGACACTGAAGATAGGTTGCATCCTATCCTCACAAACAAAACCTAGGTCCTTGAGCTCAATGTATCCTTCCACTGTACAGTTTATGCAGATCACCTTTGGACTTTGTAAAAATAAATAAAGCGCAAGATCATAGCGGGTATAGATGTATTAAGCTTCCATGGACGCTTCAACATATGTGTTTATGGGACTGATAAGAAGATAATAGTGTGTAGCAGCCTACCTCTGGAATGATGTACCACAATGACAGGAGGTCTAGCCAGGAGATGTTTCAGCTGGTGAGTGCTCTGTACCAACCCCTCCTCATCCACCTGCCACAGTCGACTGCCGGGTCTGGCACAGTAGATACTGACCTGAGAAACACAGTGTGTGTTGAACTATGAAAGGTCGTTCAATACTACAACTGTTTACACTTTTTTGTTGACAATCTTTGGATTCAAATAATTCTCGGGACAAAATAATGGTATTGCTAATTGCGTTAATCACGGTTTCACTTTAATAAAATGAAATTTCGCTTGTTAACTAGGCTAGCTCTTTAAACGTTATAGAAGGCCTACTATAAACAATTTAATCAATTCGGGCTAGTTTGTATCTGGAAAGCATTATGAAAAAGAAAATCAGGCAATAACGCCAAAAATCCTGTTATAATTCTGGACAAAGTCTAAAAAATATAGCTTTTGGATAAAAACCTGAGCGTGGTAACACTCGTTTTTGACTAACAAATAGGCCTAATCTAAGTTAAACAGTAATGTACTTATCTAAAGCTAATAATGGTCATAACTTTTGAGAAACTACAATCTGCACAACAACCGCATACTCTAATAAAAGGTCTAGATGTGACTCTTCCCTGAAAAATATCAGTTTTTCGACTAACCCTCACCTAAGGGCACGAACCTCAATTAGAGGACGGCTGTGTTTAACTGGCAGCACAACTAGGCTGATTTAGATAATAACTTTTTTTGTAAGGAACACAGAATAAGACTGAAAACTGGAAAGACGAAAAACACTTTGTCTTAATTCTTTATTCGGTTGGAACTTACTGGATCAGTAGGCAGGTAGCACGCGCCGTACTGTCCGTCCCGTAGCTTGGTGCCGACCTGGCGGTACTGCTCGCGCGCCGTGTCACACACGTAGCACCGCGTGTACGATGACACGAGCAGACGGTCGCCGCGGCAGCAGACACTCACCACGGCGCTGTCCACCTGCATGAACACAAAGGCCGGCACGTGGAACATGTTCTTGCTCTGAAACACAGTTGATTATGGTTTGTTACTTTTAGTTATAGGCTATAGATCATTAGATCTACTCGTTAAGTTATATGTCACTGAGCCTAAATATTACATTAACCCGTTGGCCTAGTCTTATAACTAACAATAAAATTGCTTGTTTTGTAGAGTATCAGGAATATATTAACATATCCACTGAATTCCAGTAAATGTGCTTTTGGAAATCTTTTCATCTTATTATTTGTGATTTGAAAAAATCATGTTTCGAAGCATAGCAGAAGATAGGTTCCTTTACTAAGACTAGGTGAAAAAAACTGTCAGTCTATCTATGGCAATCTCGCCTTGCATGTAGGCCTACCCTTGGAATTTCATTCCAGAAACTGCATTGTATTCAATTATGGGATTTTGAAAAATAAGAGGGATTTTCTCTTTAACCTACTTCCTAAAGAAGTTCTTTATTAAGGAGATATAATGGTTAAGCTACGAGTCACAAGCCTTAAGTCCTTTATTCAGCCAAATAAAAAAATATCAGTGTTATGTTTTGTGATCTTTTACAGCAAGTTTAGCTAAAAGTCCCTGGACTCTTCAATTTCTCCGCTTTTCACAAGATTCCTTACCTATTAGACTGTTTCCTGGCTACCTACTGGGAAGCATCAAAAAAGCTTCCTCACTACCGAAAAGCTACCAGGAGAAAAACTGGTATTAAATAGGTCTAGGATCAATCCTAACCTAAAAACCTAATAAAGCAAAATACAAAAATCTCCAATAGCAGAAATTACCATAAAAAGAGACACATTGATGACGGAAAGTCTGCCTTGACTGTCCCCGGCGAATACTTGGTCGCTGTGCTCCACCCAACACAGCGCCGTAACATCGGCACCACTGTGCTCTGTGCTGCGGTTGAGACATCGCGCGCCTGTGCTTATCTCTGCACGTTGCAGCACGCACACTGTCCCACGAACCGAGGCAAACGCTATCAGCTTCTCATCTGGAGATATGGAAACTCGGCTCACCGCCCCCTCCTGTCACAATACAATCTGGTTAAAAACAACAGAGGTTTATATTTTCAATTAGAATGTTAAGAAAGCTAGGCCTAGAAGCTGAATAAACATAGATAAAGAGAATTTAGATGGATGGCCATGATCTTCTTTTTTGATCCTATGATTTTTTTCTGTACGTCTAAGAATGTTAGAGACATTTTGAATGCAAAGTAGCTTCAAATATTTTTGAGGAAAATCATTAAGTTTAGGTCTAAATTCCCATTTTGAGGACTCTTGCAAAACAGTAAGGAAGTTGCAGTTGCACCATAAAATATAGGTAGCCAATACCTAGAAATCAATTTACTAAGTTGCTAGCAATACAATCACCAACTTTAAGTTATCATGTCAGAAATGTACGATAACAGGCCATTCACCAAAAATTGTAAACCACTTTGTATTTTTCTGCTAAAGTAGGCTATAAGATAGACTTAAACTTATTTTATACCTTATTAGGCAGAAGCTGGAGAAATGTACAAGGTTCTCTTCGGAATACATAGAGACCACCACTGGTAGCACCAAACACCAGGAAACTCGGGGATACATCAAAACAAGTGTACTAAAAAAGAAACTTTTGATGATACATTATGAATAACCCATTTAACTTAAATAGACAACATCGACGAGTATCTTAAGGTTACTAAGTTAAGTTAAAGCCCAATAGGCCTAGGCCAAGGTCCTACAAACAATGGAACCTAATAATAAGTTATAGGTGATGGACTGATTTGGAAACTATTACAGCAAGTTTGGTCAATTTTCTTGGTTAACCCTTTCGCCGCCGCGGTCTGATATATTGGACATCTACTTACTAAATGTTTTTTTACTGGCCACCTCTACGTCCAACGAAGCCACAAATAACACACCAATCGAATCGGCATTGTCTGGGCTTCATGTAGCAAGAGCTTTGACGGCCTTTGTTTGTGTTTTTTCTCGTGGTGGACGAGATTTCCCGAGATGATGTCGTCTGTTGTTTGTCAACAATCAACATCATCTGTGTGATCTGTGCATGTAGATAACTTCTCAAGACTTAAGTTGTTCTAATGGATTTTTAGTAACTAGTAAAATTATTTATTTATTTATTTATTGACCAACGGCTGACGCCAATACATAGAAGATTTAGAATGATACAATTTGAAGAAAAATAACAGCTGCAAAATGAGAAACAATTCAGAACAGTATAACAAGCAATAACATTTGACAACAATAATTGAACAATATAACAAATAACAATAAAAAGCAACAATAAAAACAAGTTAACAAACAGGAAGAAGGTTCGACGTATTAAATAGGCCTATGACTAACTTAAACTTGGTCGAAATAAGTTGATCAATATTAGGGTAAGTACCTAAGTCTTAGCCCAGGCTAGGCCTACCAAAATAAATATTGGGCTGTATGGAAGGCTACCCTGTTGGTAAATATTCTCTATTTTAGCACCTAAATATTATTTTTGTAACCATATAATTTAGGCCTACTAAAAGATAGGCCATATTAGGCCTATGGCCTGAAAGATTCTTTTTAAAGTGTGGGTGCATCCACCGCCGCTGACATAAAAGTTTTTATCTAAAGAGTTATGTTTTTGTTTTTAGTAATATGTAAATAGTATTGGCACAACCTATCCGGCATCGCTGGTCTCGGTGACGAAGGAGGTAATTACGGTACATTCTATGAATAATTTACGAGGCAATGTACAACTTAAACCATTTATTAGTTAAATTGTTGAGACAAATATAATTGATTAGGCGTAGTCTATAAATTTTAGTTCAATGAGAATCGTATCCAAACAAGGCCTAGGCCTACAAAAATTTAGGCTAGGCCTACATTAGCCAATTTAGTAAGTCAAAGTTCAAGGCATGTCGGGTGGATCTGTATTTGCCAGCAGAAAATACAATTAATACTGGACTTAGGGATATTATAGGCTAAAAGTTATAGATATTTGTAAAGTAGTTATAGCAATCCCCAAGCATGTACCGAGTAGCATTAAATAATGTTTAGTATCTTGAGCAAAATACGTATTATGTAACACAGCTGAAACAATGCCTCGAAGAACACCGAGATCAAGAATCGCAATTGATGAAATTTTATGAATAAAAAATGCAATGATCTAGAATTAAATAGGATGAAACATTACCTTGATTCTTTGTGTCGATTTAAGTGGAGAATTTACTGTGGAATAACTATTATCTGATTCAACTAATAAAAATTTTAAGCTAGCAGACGAATTACTCGCCATCTCAGTCGAGACAGCTAGAAGAAAACCATTGCTGCCAACAGCAAAAGCTCGCCATTATTTTATCCAGAACTACCAACTGTAATACCCGCTTAAAATTTTATCAAACGTTTATTGAATCTGGATGCTATAAAAAATGTTATGCACCTGAATTTATTCAGTCATTAGAGACAATTGAAGGAATGAATACATTTCTTAAATTTCATTACAAAATTATGCGCCTTACCATAGACTAACCAACACAAGGGAGTATGTTTTATCTATGGCCTTACTTATAAGGTCATTGAAAAAAAACTTTCACTGACGAGTGACGTTTAACTGTCATTTTTATGTAGCGTGGAGAAGTCTAATAATTGCACCAGTCAATGTAAATGAGAACCATAATCCAAGCCCATAAATGAAAGAAAACGCCAATGAAAACCAGTTGTATTATAAAAACAATGGTTTCATCAAAGTCTGAAACTACCTTTAGCATTTTCTGTAGTCAAGGGAAAAATATCTGGAAGAAAAAAAAGATCTCTTTTCGTTAACACCATCTGTTGGTTAAAATGAATTGAACATGTGTTGTTGTTATGTTTTTCTGTTTCTGTTTGTACTTCAAATTTTATCAGTATTCTTATCAATATTCTATTTAATTAAAAACCATGGTCTTTATTGCAATTCCTTAGTATACATGAAATCAGAATACAATAATCAATTAGTAATTTGAGGCGTCTCACTCTTCGTAATGGTTTGTTAGTCGATCTTTTAGCGAATTTCCCATATAGGGAATAAGCTATTACCGTAGTACTCATGGTAAGACCTGGACCCGAGACCGATCTAATTTTTCATTTTGAGGTCCCTAGAGGCCAAAAACACCATCCGTTCAAATTCATATATATATATATATATTTATATATATATTTATATATATATATATATATATGTGTCCGTTAGCGCGATAACTCGAGCAAAAATGATCCGATTTTGATGAAATTTGGTACAAACGTGTAAACCTACGTTTATTCGAACGAGTTCGCGATCCAGCATAATCGGACCATGGGAACGGGGGTTTATGGGGGGTTTTATGGGGTAAAAATGGGTTTTTCCCATTTTTCAACCTAAGTACAAAAAATTTTGTGATTTCTTTCTAAACCGTTTTGTAGAGCTTAAAAAAAGAAATAATTTAGTATATTGAAGCGCTGTTGTATGCCTAACGGTCACGGAGAAAATTCAAAAATAGTGTAATTAAAAATTCCCATGTTATTCTTATGAAGAAAATGAAAATTGTTGTAGTTTACTTGTTTATGGGTATATAAGATAAAATTTGGCAAATTTATTTATTTCATCCTATACTATTGACGTATGGTCAAAAAACACTTACCTTCCCCGTAGCAGCAAACCTAAGCACTCGTTAAATCTAATGTTATTTAAATAGGGAATAATATGTCTTATTTATGGAAATATTTTAGTATAAATGTAATCAGACGAGTTGAAATTCGCTTAGTCTGCAGGTTTGCTGCGGCGGGGGTATTTAGCATTACCTTTAGGTTTAATATTTAAGGTTATTTTTATATTTACTTTATGCAATTAGACATGGGCAACAACATTTACAGTTAACGATTCGAATATTATCTACGTTGTGATAGTACTGATTGTAGAGACCCCTACTGGCCCTTTTGGGCACTAATAAATATTTAATTTTTTTCAATTAGGTCTCAGACCATGTGCAGCTGGTGTAGGCCAGCCAGGCCAGAGGCCAGGCCTATCCTATTATGAGCACAAACAACTAACAAGCGCCTCTTGATTTAAGGAGAGTTGTTACATTTATTTACTCATTGTAAGTTTTCTCTTCACTTCGTTAGATGTATGTACTTACAACATAATCTAGGCCTCTGTGATATTTTACAGCATGCACTTCTCATTGTCTCCAAAACAACTTAGGCCTAGGTTACATACAAGAAATCTTGATTTGATCACTCAGAAACATACAATTTTCAATCTCTTACAAGAGCCATATGATCTTAGTCAGTAGAAATGCTGCACAGATCTTCCCACACCATTCTACATTTATCGTTCACTCATATTGGGTTAAATTACACACCTAGGTGGTGTCTTAGATTAAACATACTCTTAGTAGATTTCTCATCCTTATACCACAGCTGAAGACAATTTGGTACTTTCGTATTATACGGAGGCCACTTATTTTACAGCACGCTGCAGCGATTGTGTTATCAAAATATGTTTGTAGGACTTTCCTCGTTTCGTTATGAACCGAACGATACCAGATGAGTCATAAAAATGTATGATAACCCAACCTAACACAACCGCCGCAGCACTGTCTAAGCATTGGCTTCCTTATAATACAAAAGTACCGACAATTTTATTGTTAGTTCTGTCCGGTGTACTGTAGAGGTCATGTTATGTTTACAATTTGTTTCTTGTTATTTCAGTAATTTAAAACCTCGTTTAAACAAATATGATATAGGCCCTAATCATAAACAACAATTTGTCCTCTAGTTATTTTGTTTGTTGTTGTACAAAAAACAGTAAAGCACAAATCATTAAATCAACCCTACAATAATAGAAACAAAATTTTGTCGATATTAGTGATCAAAGTCACTGAACACGAAAAACAAGCTTCAAAATTTGAAATGGGATGAGAAGTCTACTTGTATTGGTTATTCTATGGTAGCGTCCTTATCTCAATGATTAATAATTAATGTACGGTGATTTATCAATTTATATTTTAATTTTAAAAAAATGTTGTAAAGAACTCTTGTATCTGCCTTTATCATATTAGCCTATTGATTGTCACAATTGATAAGTTAGGGCCTAAGTAGAAGGATTAAGTTTTCGTTAGTTCATCATTTGAATCAATGCTGTTGTTATTCAATCATCCGATAGAATAGGATATCAAAGTTTAGACAGTTAAACATGTAAGTTTTTATTTTTTTTTAGAGCTAATGTGCCGGTCTGCAGTTAATGCAAAGCCAAAATGGAGACTGCGGCTATAACAATATTAAAGAGAGCTGTAGAACTGGACGAATCCCACCGATACACTGAAGCCATGGTTTGCTACCAGGATGGTATTCAGCTTCTACTCGACTCTTTGAAAAGTAAGATTAAGAATATCTATCAGTAGATATTTATGTATTTCACTATTTAAACTAAAAAAAATAGACTAGGAACAAACATATGTTGAATATTGTATCTACCTTCGCAACTTTTTAACAGTGTTTACCTGCAGACCAGAAGAGTACATTTAGAGTAGATTTATTTTTATAGAAATGGTCTTTTAGACACATACATATTTTACACTTTCGTTCCTTTAATTTCTGAATCTAGGTCTGAACTAGGCCTCTCAATCTTCTCTTATACTTTCAAAAGTTCCTCTTTCTCCGCTATGCTGTTTGCTCCCTCTCCTCCCCGCATTTATTTATTTATTCATTTAACGGTTATAACCAATACAGTGAAAGTACATTGTTGTGCATGCTTAACAGTAACAAATCAACTATGATCAAGAGTGAATATACGTGGACAGCTGTTCAATAAGTCAACCTTGTCCAAACTTATTAGCCTAATCTTTTCGTAGGTCCTTCTCCAAGGCTTCTTTAACCGACTTGTCACAAAATTCTATTTTCCCTACTCTTTTCGTATGTCTAAACAATCAGTCCTGCCCATTTCTTCTTATATTCTCTCTTATTATAGTACTTATCTTTACCTCTGCTCTTCTCCATCTTGATTAACTATTAATTGCCTTTTATTACATTCTGTTTCCAATACATTACATACTTCCGTGTTCCCAACTGGTAGCTACTGGCCTAATATCTCTTATACATGGGAGTTTTGCCTTATTGGTCAGGCTATCGGTATCTCATAGTATGTGCTTTAATGGGGAGCGAGCTGGTCTAGTGTTAGAGCGCAGAACATCGGTCCTGTATTCAAATCCTGCCAAATCACCAATGGATTTTATCCGAGTGATAATTTTGCAACGGCTAGGTCTAGTTTAAGGTAATGTAAAAACGATCTCGGGCTGGAGCCTAGCGTCCATAGACAAAAGTATGTGCTTTAAATTCATGGAGTACTTCACTTTTATCATAGGCCTACTTAGAAAATTGCAAAACCAAAAATATACTTAATACAATACATACAATATTATTTACCGTATTGTTCATTCGTAAAAACTTACGAACACTTACCTTTGTAAAAAGTTGTTTTTATTGGATTTTGAAGTTCTAGGCATGAACTAACGTTGATTAGTTTTTTTTTTATTTGTAGCTTGATAAAACTTAGCACCAGTAGTTAATTGTGACCGATTCTTTAGTATACAAAAAATTGGTTATTTCCACAACCTATTTAACAGTTGGTAGTCAAAGACCTTTATACTGTCTCCATGGTGGTAGATTATACCATAGATTATACATAGGCTACTCTTTGACATTTTGAGGTTGTTAATTGAAAAAAAAAACTTCACTATGACATTAGCCTTATATATTACTCTTGAAGTTACATGTTACAAAACTTCCATTTTCAGACAGTCCATTTTCAAACTTCAATATAATCTAATTTTTATTTTCTTTGTCTGTTTGGATTAATCGAAGATTGTTTTCATCCTGTGAATGTAGACTACGTTTTGATGTTAGCCTATTATGTTTTCCCACCAATCAATCAAAAACTATAAACCAAATAAAACAATCTATTTAGAATCCATACAAACTCACCATCTTGAATTATAACCAAATAGTAAAAACACAGATTGTAACATTTACGAGGAAGAAAGTGAAAAAAACGGTCAGCATATAATTTATAAAGGGAGGAGAGGGTTGGGTTGACTTGCTATCAGAAGGCTTCTTCCTTTACTCTCGGGTCTCTAAAACACTAGATTGTTTGAAAATGTGTATTAAGTTTAGCATTCGTAAAATGTTATAAAAATTAAGAAACGGATCTCTTGTATAACATTTGTTCTTTTCATATAGTTAATGATACCAAAATAATATGATATATGCACAGATTATTCATAATACA